TCTTTGCTGTAAAGCAAAGCAAGCCCTATGGAGATTTCATTCTATCTTGTATTATTGTTTCTTTGGATATTTTAGCACTTAAGAGATGGAGAACCAAAAACCAATAGATTCAACTCAAGAACTATCATTTGCTGAGCTACCAAAGAAGATATTGCGACTATCACAACCTTTGAGATGGCAAAATTGAGATGAAGATCTTCAAGAATAATATGTTCTTCTTTAAATAGATGTCAAAGATAAAAACTTAATAAAAATAAATAAATAAATGAGACTTTTTCCAAAAAAAGATGACAAAATAGAAATAATTAAAAATATATATTAAGAAAGAAATTGGAATGGCTATTGCCAAAAGACAAGAAAACTAGATATCCTTGAAACTAGACTAGAAGCAAGAAAGAAATTGACAAGAGTGAAGAAGGATTCACTCTTGCCTCTATATATACTATCTACCTAAGAGCTACGTGGTGACATTCTATAGGACCTCCAAAAACATGTTGACTTTGCACAATGCATATTTTAACTTGCAAGGCAAATTTTCTATGTAGGTGCCACATACTTAGCTTATTCCACAAGCTACCAACATGTGTGGCATGTGGTTAACTTGTTGACCAAGTTTCTAACCTACCAATCAAGTATAAATATATGTAAAGTCAAAGTAGCATCTATGATGCTTTTAAGAAGCTTCTCTAGAAGATATTATGAAATTTATCTACTTTTACCTACTTCTACTTATTCATATCACATAGGTAATAATTACATTAAATACATGTATGTGATAATAGATGGCAAGATACAATACATTTGATACCACAACTTTAGAAGGGACTCCCAATGTTTAGTAATACTTTTGGAGGTAGAAACCACTCTTGATGGTATTACTAATGTTTTGTTTAAAAGAAGTTATAAAGGCCCCAATAATCATCAAATATTATGGTGGTCTTTTTGCCCTGGTATGAGATATTATTAATGGTTGAAGGGACCTATCAACTACCTTCAAAGGGAACAAAGATTAAAGTACATGACAAATACAGTTTGGCACATCTTGGACTTCATCAACATATAATCACTGCTCTTTGTAGAACTCGTCACTAGAAGGGGGGATAATATCACGGACATACATATTTACTTTGATAATTATCTAGATAGTAAGAATAGGTAGAAGTAAGTCAAAGTAAATAAATATGATAATATCTTATAGAAAGCTTCTTAAAAGCTTCATAGACATTGTTTTGCCTTTATACATGTCTATAGGTGATTGGTAGGTTGAAAACTTGGCCAACAAAGAAGCTATGTGTCGACATGTTGACCACTTGTAATACAAGTTGGACATATGGCCCACACCTAGGAAACTTGCCTTGCAAATTAGACATGTATCCTACAAGTTGGATGCATATTAGAAGTTCTATAGCATGTTGCCACATAGTTCTTAGTTAAGTAGTATATATAGAGGTAAGAATGAAGCCTTCTTTACTCTTATCAACTCCTTTCTTGTTTTTAGTCTAATTTCAAGAGTCTTATATTTTCTAGTCTTTGGCAATAGCCACTCTAATTCTTCCTTGAATATACAAACTTTCTTCTATTTTTTCACTTTTTTTTTAACACAAATTCCACAAATTTATGTATCTTCTTCTAGTTTGTATCCTTGACAATTATATACTCTTCAAATTTATCACAACTTTCTAATTGTAAGACCTTTTGGATACAATAAGATTTTTGAATTAAAATGAAGATATTTTTAGTAGCTTTAAATAAAAAAGATAATTAAAAACTTTAAATACTTATTTAATATTTATTTAAAATCAAATATTCATTATTATTGATATTATGGACTTCTTCAACCATTATTTATAATAAAAAAAACCATATTCTTTTATTTCTATGGATTTTATGATAAATATTTTAATCTCAAGTTTATATTTGTAATAGTAGATCATTTCATCAAGATGCCATATTTTTTATTATATATAAAATCTATTTCATGTAAAGAAACAACTAAACTTTTCTTTGGCAATATTCATCACTATGATAGATTTTCAAAAGATATTATATTAGATAGAATGACTTAATTTGTATAAAGATTTTAAAAAATCTTTTTCAATATATTACTTATAATAATATGATAAAATCTTCTATTCAATAAACATATTTTTGCTTTAATTATTATTATCATTCTTAACTTCAATATCTTGAATAAAACAAAGGTTTTTTGAAGACCATATGAAGAAGACAAATGCCACCTCCTCCTATGAAAATAGACAATAATCAAAAGTTTGAGGTTGAAGAAGTCTTAGACTTAAGACAATATCGAAATAGATTGAAATATCTTGTATATTGGCATGGATATTTTTTTAATAAATGCACATGATAGCTAGACAAGAATCTTTCATACGCAACAAAGAAGATTGATATTTTTTTATTAGTAACATCCTATGAAATCAAGATAAAGAGTCAAGTAATTATTTTTTATAAAAGAAATAAGGCATGGTGAAGATTAAATTCTATTTTCTAATTTTATTTGTGATTTTTGTATAATTATGATACTAAAAAAATTAAAAAATTAATAATTAACATATTCAACTTAAGAGCTATTATTTGTCAAATTACTAAAAAATATATTAAGATTATCACAATTTTTAAGATGACATAATAGATATAAAGACTCTTAAGAACAATATTTTCTTCGTTGAATGGATGGTGAGATATAATGTATTTGGTATCACAACAATCGAAGAAATTTCTAATATTTGGTAATATTCTTAGAAGTATGAATAATCTTTGATGGTGTTTCAAATGTTTTATTTGAAAAAAATTACAAAATCCTCAACAATGACCAATGAATAAGTTGGTCTTAATGCTTAGGTATAGGATCCTATTGATGGTTGAAAGAACCTATGAACTACCTAAAAAAACAAAAATCAAAAAACAAAAAAAAACAAACAAAAACAAACAAAAATCAGAATTCATAGCAATAATTCAAGAAATTTTATTTTTTTGGTGAATGATAGTAGTGAAGCAATGCAGGTCAAAAGAATGAATGTAATAAAGGTGGATATGGATTGAATGTATATTTTTTTTGTAGTTATAGTAGTTTTCATTGTATTATAAGCATAGTAGATATATCTTGATTATTGATATTTTCTATTTCAAAAGTAGTCAACATCAATTTTGAAAGTAGGTCCAAGGCTCTCTAATTTCTTCCAATCTATAAATGATTCAATGTGATCAAGGGCCAATATAATGAATAAATCCATGTGCCATATAATTATCTACAATTTAATACAAAATAGATGCACATTAGTTTCAACTTGCACTATTAATTGCAAACTTGATGTCTTTAATGCTTCAGCTTCAACCTTTTTCTAAAGTACATTGTTACCTTATAGAAACCATCATATTCTCTATTACTTACAAAAGTTGTATGAATGAAAGGATATCAAAATAGAGATGTAAAAGCTATTTCAATAGAAAAGTGAATCAGCTCATCTTCAATGTTGACAAAGAAAAGGCCTATATGATAATAAATCTAACAATAATATAAGTCAATATATAAAATAATATAAAAGTAGATCATAGGACCAAAAGATAGTATAACTTGATATTTACTTAAATACTTACATTTAATACTTTCATAAATTTGATAGATTTTAGACTAGATTTTTGTTCTATTCATTACAAACATAACTTTAAATGAAAATTAGAATCTTTTGAAATCAATCAAATCAAAAATTAACACACTTGAAGTCAATTGCACCCTCACAGATTTTCTAGCTATGATAGAAGAGCTTTTTAGCTTGACAACAATAAGCATTGCTATTAAAGTTGCAGTGATTGCTATGTTGATAACTATGCCTATCATAAAAATCTAGTAGTTGAAAAACAAATCTAGATATCATTCTTTTTCATGATGGTTAGGATAAGTGGATTGATTTAATAAAAGCTTAGGTTAATTTAACATTCCCTTAAATAAATTATCTTTAAAAGAGTCTTTTTTGTTATTCTTTTCTAAATTAAAAATATTTTAGTTAATTTTAAAATATAAATAAAATCTTGTAAAATAACATTAATAGTGCAATTTATATCTTTTTTAAGTTGAAAGAAATATTTTGTATATTTTTAATGTCAAGTCCAAAATCTCAAAGTTTTGAATTAAAACTGATGCATTTATTGGATAACATCTTATTCTTGATAATAAGTTGATTATGGTATATCATTGAAATACTAACATATGTTACTATGAAGTACATTTTTAATATATTGTATTAATATTTTTAATTTTAAAAACAAACAAATCAATCTCCTTTTCATATGCATCTTTAAATATATGAGAATGTTAAATAGATCTAGGCTTTTATTAAATTGACATGCCTATGATGAAGAATATGGTATTCTTAATGAATGTGGTTTGTTTTTATTGGTTATGGATCCAATAGTGGAGAAATAAATCTAAAAGTTATTCTTTTTTTTCATTATGGTTAAGATGGATGGACTGATTTAATAGAAGTTTGGATCTATAAAACATTTTCCTATATTTATATATATACACAAAATAAAAATAAAATAAAAATACTCTATTTAATTAGCTCCTTGACCAGAATTATTGTTGAAGAAATAGACCTCTTCTTGTAAATTCAAAACAGAAAATCAAAAATCAAAATCAAAATAGAACAAAACTTGAATTGGATTTTCTTCTTTCTTTTCTCTGTGAGCAGAATGGGTTCAAAATAATTTTGAGTAACAGACGCAAATGTCAAAATGTAGGTATCAACACCTACAAAGCACCACAGACCTTCACCTTTCATCACATTTAACAGTAATAATGATTTTAGCAAATATCAAACCACAACATATTTTTTAAAAGAAGTTAGGTATGAAGTAAGACAAAAATACAGGGAGGAGGTTTTCAATTTCTATCAACCAATTGAGCTGACACGCTACTCTACCCAGGATGAACATTTCTCATTCTTTGGCTCAGAAACAGGCTCACTGTCTCTAGGTTTTTGCGGAGGTTTCGTTTGGGGTGGTCACGAGCATTTCTTCCGCAGAGGATGAAGAGCAGTTGATGGAAGAAGTGCGCGAGGTGTTCACAGCAAGTTGTGAGGATCATTGCCATCCTAGGGGACGCCATGTCGTTCATGAAGGGAGACTTGCTCTCGAAGACGCGGAAGCTGATGAAGGGCGGAATTATTGCCAGGCCTCGCTGGTTCGATGCTGTCATGAGGTGCCCGTCCACGACGAACTTGACCGATGCCATTAGGGTTTATGTGCCGAGAGTTTAAAACACTGCGCCCAGGCTTCCTTCGTTTTTTTTGTAGTTTTTTTTGTTATGGATTTTTGGTTTTTATTTTAAATTTTATTTTCCTCTCATTCCAGAGTGCACATACGTAGCGTGAGAATTTTGCCGGAACTGTTTGTCCATGTTAGGCATTGGGCCGCGGCTACTTTTGCCTTTGAGCACGGGTTAGGGCTCTAGGTCGTTGAATAGCAAAAGGTTACATTGATCCGATTTTTGCTAAAGATTGAGTCGTAAATTAGTGATCATGTAGTAGGTTTGTTTAATTTTATTTTTTTACTGACAAGGGTTTAGGGTTTATGGACTTGTTTGCTTCATATTCTCATATCGGATTGCACGGTTTAGGGTGTTGCAGCTTTGGTGTTTGGGCCATCAATTGTCAGAGAATTGACATTTCTTTCGTTGTTGAGGAGTTTAGGGTTTAGTAACAAAGGTCTGAGTGAGAATAGCAAGCAGCTCTTTTGCTCGTTTGTCGTGAGGGTACAATATGTATTGTAGGTAGGATTTCTCAAGTTAATCTTCAGTGGATCTTATTGTCATGATATTTACTGCGTATTTTAAGGGTCAAGCCATCTACTTTTCCAGCTAAATTTCTGCCAGGGGTTCCTTTACGGATAGCTGAAAAAGTAGATGACTTGCATCGTCTGAAAAAAGAGTTAAATGGATCCGTTCCTATTGCCAATTGAGTAGAATTTGTTAGTTTCTGCTGCTCTCAGCTTGACTGTGGTGCTCCATTTAAACTAGCTGCGAAGGACAACTATGTATTTAATCTCTAGGTTATGTGCAATGTTGCAGAATACCACCTGAGCCGAAGAAGACCCGATGCAAGAAGGCACCCAAAATTGTGCTACCTGAAGATAGGCTGGTGGAGTCTTACTATGCGCGCCATCCTGAGGCGAAGTTCATACCGTTTGAGTAGGTTTTTAGCCTTTATCTTTGGTTTGCGGGGGCCACGTGTCGAGTATGCTTGTGTCAAACAAGATTTCAGACCTTGCTTGATATTTGGTGTGCAGAGCACTCACAGTGTTAGTGGTACTTAATTTCCACCATCTTAATGCAAAATATGATGCAACGTTTTACTTTTGTGCAGGTTGAACAGTTTCGATCCTCCCCCTGCTCGCAAGTTTGCATGGCGCCAACTTGAGCTGATGAATCAGGGCCATCCGCGCGATATTGCTCGAGACATGGTTGAGGTACGTTAAACTGGAATTCATTTCTATATTCCATGATTTCTCGTATATCTTCATCTAATGCTTCACCTCCCGGTCACAAGGCACATGATTTAACCTTAAAACCCACCATCTTGTTCACAGGTAGAGTTTGCTGAAGCTGAAAAGGCAGCAGAGGAGGCTTTCAGGGCAGAGCGACGCAGGGCTGTCATGGAAGGACGGGAACCGCCAGCTTTGAAGAAAAGCAAGATCGAAGAGATTCAGGAAGAGGAGTGGGAGTATTTGTCTCAGGGTCTTGCAGCAATAGGCAGCCAGGGAAGAAAGGCTGGGGAAAAGCTACCCGGCTCAGAACGCCCGGCTAGGGTCAGCAGCTTTTCTTAGCTCTATTCATCCATTCTAACATTCTCCTATCTTTTTCTTTTTACACCAAGTCCTTTACATCAGCCCATTTAGACACCTTGAGGCTCTAGACCATTCTTTTGAATGTGGAGAAGTGAACATACTCGAAAAGGTAATAAGAGCAGATTTCTTGGTTGGAAGATCACCAAGTCAATTAGCAAATGATTTTGTTGAAGTTCTGTGCAGTCTCAAAGTTCTTTTTATCTTGAGGGATAGCGTTGTCCTTGTTATACAGAGTGCTAAGTCCATTTCAACGCATTCACGAATTCCAAAATTACTCTTTCTCAGTAGACTCTGCATAATAGCAACTTGAACACAGATAGGTTGTGGTAACAGTCGACTTTTCGCAAATCTAGTGCAGTTGAAAGAGATAGAACATGGTGTGCTTTGAAATGTAAAATTCTGCTATTATGTGAATTGGATTGCTTTGTGGACTTGTGCCAATTTATGTCCCAAAGCACGAGTTACCTTGTTTATTGTTCTTGCTCCACCTTGGGAGTTTTGCCAAGAAGTCGTAACTGTATTTGTTTTGGTTTTAATGAATTATGCTGGATGCTTCTGCTGCATTCGATTGTCAGGCTCCATTCGAACCTCAGACATAGTTGATAAACAAGTTGTACTCTGGTGACCAGCTGTCAGTAGATTAATGAACAATTCATGCTGCGAGGATAGCTCCTTCAGGTTGAATGAAAACTTTGTGGTCACTGGTTACCCACACCAGATTACTACTCTGCAGCTTCTTCTGTAAGCTTATCTATACTATGTTGGTTTGAGCTCAGACTTTGCTTTACCTTTACACTAGAAACCCCTTACTCATTGTGTGGTTCATGATGACGAATGGCCAGTTACATGTTTTTGGTTACTGGTTGTTGTAACTTAGGGCTATTTCACAAAACACTGCATTTCCCACCAATTCATGGAGCCTCTGTAAGGAGGTGTCGTCTGAAACGCTTCCACATGGTGCTCAGGATTATCAAACGATGGGGGTCCTTCATCTTCAATTGGGAAGCTCCACCAATATTGAATGATGGGTGTGTTTATTTATATTGCACATGTTGAATTAGTTTAGATAGGTTAGACATGTGATCTGTTATTTGAAATTCAGTGCACTTGTTTATATCTCCCTTCTTACTTGTCTCGAATCACATCTTGTTGGTTTAAATTCACGATTGTTGTGCGAGAGCATCTGCACCCATGCCCCCGTAAATGGACGCTCTGTCGGGCTAGGGTGGTGGTTCCCACAGTGGAACCTAACCTTGTCCGAGGCGAACGTCCCACTGGTCAACACTGTACATAGGCAAGGAGACAATGAGTCTTGCCCCATGGCGAGTCCAGCCCTGGGGGACATTTATTAAAGAAGGGACATGAATGATGATTAGAGGATGGGATTTTGGCGTGTCTCTTCCCTACCATGCCAAATGTGGCGTGCCTCAGCTGGAGAGCCCCTGACTCTGTTTGCCGTGAGCGGGCCACGAGTGAGGCAAATGTCCACGTCAAATGTTTGTAACGGGTCTTTTAGAGTGTCCCATTGGGGATGCCTTTATTGCCCTCGCTACGCATTCCAGCGATGCCCTTCAAATGGATTTCTGAGAATAATAGAGATCTCAGAAAGAAAATCCTAACAGGTCGTGGGAGCAGAGGCGCAACATCAGCAATACCAACTATGGAGGTGATGTGCTAGGGAATGGATTTTTCAGCCCAGGAGGCGCTCTCACATCGGAATTCCGTCGCAACAAAGTGCTATCGGCATTGAAGCGGGCGACCTCAGAGAAAGATCCGTGGGCTTGGGGAGCTTCAGCGCGTGTCTGTTGGGACTGGGTGGATGATATTTTCGATGCTCTGAGAGATTCCTGCGCTTTCAATCCCACTCAGTGGCATCATGGCCCACGCGGGCGGAGGACTCCAGCAATGAATGAACTCCCTCTTCTCTCCCTAGAAAGACCCATCACCCTCCCCTTAAACGCAATTTCTATTCTAGTTTTTTTCCGCATAATGCTCAACTTCCGCCCTTCATTTTTCGCTGCTGGTTCACTATTTTCCTGGTGTGGCATTTACTCACCGAGATATTAATTCTATTTAAAGTTTGTTAATATCATAACCACAACTAAAATAGCAATCCAAGGCAGCATATAATGGAAAGGAAACATATAGTTTTAAATAATAGCCATTTCCCCCCTGGAGATAAAGTTGCTAAGTATTCCTGCAGATCTCCTCCCCCCCTATCCTGCAGATTACACACACATACACACATACATATACATTTGTTTGTTTGTTTGTTTGCTTGTTTGTTTTGTTATGTTTTGTTTTGTTTGCTTTTTTTTTTTTTATATATATGAAATTGAATTATCAGTGAGCCCTTCCACCACCCACCCACCTGTGTCCCATGGACCTTTCTGATCCTGTTCAGTGACAAGGAGGGAGGAAAAGCTCCATGGCCTTTTCTCCATCCCCTCAAATGCAAAGTACAGCAGCTGGAAGAGAAGGGCAAAGGAAGAAAAGTAAAAACAGCAGCAACTCTGTGACAAGGATTGCATTCTCCCCTTATTCCTTTGCACAAAACTGGAGGAAGATGTTGGAAAAGAGGTTCAACCTCCTCCTGCCCCAGCCTGATGTGATAATTCTAAAAAAAGAAAACAGCTGCCTCCTCACACTTTTCTGTCTCATCCCCCCTCCCCCCAAATGACATCACATGGCTGAGCTTGGCTGGCACTCCACTATATTTGTGACTGCTGGATGGGGGAGAAAACCCTAGTTCCTGATTGCCATGCATTGCTTCCAGTAAAACAAGGGGCCAACACTCTAGAGGAGTTCCAAGTTATTCATCCATCCATTGAATGAACGCTGTTGGATATGGCATGGGAGCCAGGCATGGGCCAGATGGGCATACAGCACATGTGATGGAGTCACCAGCCAGCAGCTTTGGGAACAACACAAGCAAAGGTTACATGCCACTTGGGAGCCGCTTTCCAAACCTAACATGCACCCCACACCTCTCTACTTCTACTCCTTCCTTTGAGGCCCCATTTCACAACACCCTTCTTTCTTTGCTTTTCTTTCTTCTTTCTCTTTCTCTCTTTCCCCCTTTGCTGCTTCTACCATGACATTTTCAAAACATACTTTGGCATTCTCCAGATTTCACAAACATGATCAATATAGGGGGGTATCAAGAAAAGGTCAATGGGAAAGTCAGGATGGCTGTATTCTGAGAAGTGTTGTTGCATTTCAAAGGGCCATCTCAAGCCAAGCCCACTTTGTTGCTTTTCTTCAATTGAGAGTGAAACTCTACCAAGACTGAGGCAATGTGTCTGTGGCTATGGGTCCCATGAGTACCACCTTAAATGCTCAGTCCATTTTTGGCATCTTTTTAACAGACTCAGCTTTACCAGCCCAAAGTGGATTGGGCTCATCTCTTTCATACTTTCCAACTGCATGATTTGTTGAGTTCTTAAGGGGTGAGGGGGTGAGGGGGTGGTTTCCCCCTTTTGTAGAATGATTTATAAAACTTCTGAGGTGGAGGTTTTTTCAAGAGAATGTGTTGTTTAAAATAAAATAAAAATAAAAAATAAAAAACCATTTATGCACTTTGGTAATACATTAATTTTACAGTTGTTTAATATTTCGAATATCTACTAAAGAAAAGTACCTTTCTACATCTTTTTGAATGTAATCATACAAACAAACAACGTTATCTATATTACTGTATTTTTGAAAAAATGGGGTATTTATTTTTAATTATAAACTTTTTTTTAGCGGATTTATACATCTGAAAATTGTTGTTATCCTTATTATTACTATTATCGTTGTTATTATTACCACGGAAAGTTTTAAAATATAATGTAAAAAACAATGTATTTGGATGAGATCATTCAGTCTTAGTGAATATGAAAAAATAAAAATAAATGATCTTAACATACAATTTATTATTTTTAAATCATTAAGTTTACATCCAAACATTCAATTATTAAATTTCAGTGATGCTATATGTATATGTTGTAATTGCGTTTGTTTCTCAGGACATTTGATTAATTAATTAATTAATTCTTTTCCTCCGTGGATTAACCTCAATTGCACAAGAATATGTGTAAGTGTTACTATACACAGTACTCATTATGTTCAATTGAACAAGTTTAATATTCCTCTATCCAACATAATTTAATTTGTGTAAGAGAGCTTAATTAATGCGTACATTTTGATCCAACAAAGGCCGGTCTCCCATTAATACATATATATATATACGCACGCACAAAAGTCAACACATATGTTGGAAATGATGTACATTATTTTGTAATTGGCCATTCAAGGTAGAATATTTTAGTTTAGATTTTTTTCTCCTTTCCTCTTGTTTAAAAGGTACTAGGTAAAGGGATTGGTCTATAGTAATGATAAAGTTATTAAACTTTTGAATGAAACTATTCAGATGAATTTCACAATCCATCAAAGAAACTTCAAGAGCATAACCTGGATTCTTTGTCAAGGCTTCTGCTTTTGACGTGTAAAAACTTAATGTGTTCCTATTCTTAGGTTTACTCATAGCTTTTTCTTTTTTTCTTTTTTTCTTTTTCTTTTTTCGTATGGGGACTACTTTTTTTAAATGTGTTATGAACACCAAGATATAAAGTAATAGAGTCAACTAAATTATCAACATGACTTTCGGAAAAATAAATAAATAAATAAATAAATAATGTACAGTTAATTTCAACATACTTTCATAGAGCAATGTTAACCTCGTAATTATTTTTTGATGGTTTAGGGAAAACACTGTGAGTTTTTTATGTATCAGTATTTGTAGTATTACACTGTAATATACTACAATATACCACATCACACTATATCACACCACAATACACTACATCACATTATATTACACTATATTATACTATAATACTGTGAAATGATGGATGTCACAGTTGAAGCTTTTTGAAGCAAAAAAATCCTATGCAACCATTAAATTGTTAATTGGAAATATTAAAAGATTATGTTGAGTAAAATACATGAAATCAATGTTTATATTTAAAAATGGTGCCACAGACGATAATATTCTTGCATGTGCTGCACATATTTTTGTAACATTTGATGTTTAAAATCAAAAAAATCAGATGTTGGATATGTCCAATAAAATATCAGCGTGGATAATCATTAGTGCTCCAATAAAATATCAGCGTGGATGAACATCAGTGTAGGTGACATTTCTGAAATTCTAATTGGAAACATATCTATCTAAATAATCATACTTGATGTGATTGATAATTAAAATGGAAAGTTAATATTCTATTCTCATTGACAAGTAAAAAACACAATTTCTGCTAAAATTCTAAATATTTAGATGGATGGTGTATATCTATTACATATAAGATATATTGGGTATAACACACAGAGACAAAGAAGTCATGTGATTGACTGTGACGAAGGGAGCTTGGGGAACATAATTATGAGGGAATTTGGGAATTAAGGAACTATGTAACATGGATGAAAGAAGAAATGGATGGACGTGTCAAAGATGGCAATGCCAACAATACAATATAGAGGTATTGCTAATGCTATCATAGTTTTTGTTACTATCACCATAATTTACCAATTACATGATATGTACTTTTAGATTTTAAAATTACAATGAAAAATGTATTAATATTTTTAATAGGTTTTTTTTTATTTACATCATATAGAAAGTAAATTTTAATTTAATAAATAATAGTTAAAATAATAATAAATTGTGGTGGCAGTAGTAAAGAATTTGGTGGCAGCAACAATACTCTATCTATCTATATATTTGTGTATATATAGAAACATATTTGTGACATGTATAGAAATTCAAAATTTAAACCATAAGTTATCTTATAACATCTAATGACAAGCATTGAGCTTATAAACATACGAAAAAGTATGTTTGATTTCACCTGGTATTTATTTCATTTTGTTTTAGTTTGTGCTTAGAAATGTAATGTTTGATCTTGGTTTGGTTTTGAGTACCAAAGGAATCTAAGAGTTTATATTTTTTAAACAGGATTTAATGTGATCCCATGGCCACTTGGAGACACTAGCCAACCGTTGTCACCACAGCTGCAATTCATTCATTTTCTCTTATCTTATTTTTTCTGCATTCTAAGATTGAATCTTTCTCTCATAGCGACGTTTTTGTGTGAGTTCCTGCTTCTGATTTCAGAAAACTGTACAAAATGTGAAAATGTGAGCCTTTTACTTGATGTGTAATAGGACTTACACACGTGAATCTGCGATGGTTTTTGAAGAATCTACATTGTTTTCTATTCTGTTTGGTGATTTTTGAAGCCTTTTTAATGACAGCAACAAAAAAAAACGTGTTGGTTTTAACTGATTGTATGTCGTATAATGAATAAATAGATCTTACACTAGTACACATAAAGGTAAGTAGTTTTTGTAACTTAATGCAGCAGTTTAATAAAAAGCGGTATTGTGCTAGCAGAGAGCTTACACTTTACAGTATTATCATCTAGTGTTTTTCTGCAGATTCTTACATGCACAGTGAAACAAGATCCATGAGGAAGGCTTAACGTCTGCGAGCAACTCATGGCCGGGAACGAAAACAATGCGTGAGGATGATGGTCGTAAATCCGGCAGCGTTTTCCATGACGAAGCTGTGAATTCAGTCACTTGGACCCTTGAGGAAAATGAGATTGGAGAGGTGGAATGTCATTGTTAAAATGGAAGAGCACAAGAACGAAGACATGACATCAGCTCTGCTTCAATGCTAAGAAAAGGTTAAATTCTCACGCAGATCTGGGGGACTCTTGTAAGAAAAACCGACACGTATGACAAGCCCTACAATTAATTCGGGAACGGTATTGTTGGAAGCCGGAAGGGAGGAGGGAGGGAGGACAGATTGCAAAGGGAAAAATAGTCGGAGCGGACAGACTGGATGTGCTTCAGGCCCAATCGAAACAGGCTTCGACGGTGCAAAGAGAGGTCTGAGCCACCAACATGGCGCCCACAGCGGGCGGGGAAGACCTTTCAGAAGCATGAGCGTCCAGTGCCAGGTTAGATTATTATAATTACTCCAGGGACCATTTTCTATACTGAGCCTGTATCGAACTCTGCCGACGCGGCATTTGTCAGTGCCACGCTGGCAACTCGTTCCTTTGGTCTGTTCCAGCTCAATCCTTTTCGGCCCGTTTCGGAAGCCTCCAGAACCACGCAGCCCCTTGTCCGCACACGTCCAAGCTTTTTCGAGCTTCGATCGTACGGCTCAGAATAATCCCGCTCACCCCAATGGTGGGGTTAGACGCGCGGCTTTCCGTGACCGGGACCTCATGGGCAACCATCGCTGTCATGCCGCGATGTTGCAAACTATTCGGTCTCTAAGACCGTGGTCAGGGGGAGGGTGATGTTGCTGAGCCGAGTGACTCGTCTGTTGAGCTGTAGGGGGGGAGGGGGGAGAGAAGGTCAGGGCTGTGAAGGGAGAAGGAAGGATCGATTGATTCCGAGAGATTGTGATGATGGTGCCGATTGAGCGTGCCATTCCTCTGCAGCAGTCAGTGCGGTGTCCGAACGCATCTTCTTCCCGCTGCTGCATCTACATCTTTTCTCATTTCATGTCTCTTCTTTTGCTTGTTTCTTCGAAGGCAGATTCCTTGTCATCCTTTTCGTTCTGTCTCTTGTAGTAGTCCCTCGTGAACTGTGTCCTTGGCTTCACTTCGGGGAGACAGAGGTATTCGTGCCTGGGATATGGTTCTTTTGATCGCCATTTCGTGATTCGTAGTGCCGGTGAGTTTTTGGCAAGTTTAGGAGGTGTTCTGAAGTAGCTTCTGGTTAGAGTGATTGCGACGAGTCGATAGTCTGGTTCTATCAGGCGAGTCGAGGTAGAGAGATTGTAGTTTGCCTTAAAGAAGAGGATAGACACAAACTCAGTAACATCGATTTCCGTACGCCACGTTGAAATTTTGGCTCCGAGTGTTTGTGGAGATTTGGAATTATTGGATTTAGAGGGGGAGAGTGTGAGAGGAAACTGCATATTCACACTGTGCTGTTGCGGTGTTTGAAAGTTCGAATCGCTCTCCTCTGCTGAATCGAGAGGGTTTCCTCACAGTATTTGCGAACGATTCTTGTGTTGTACGAAATTAGTGAGTGTCTCTTAGGATTCGTTTCTTTCCCCTGCCCATATTTGATTCCGGAAGTGCTAGTGTTTGGTTACCTGCTCTGTTGTTTATCACTCTGTTCTTAGCAGCTATTCGTAGCTCTTTTTGTCCAAGCTCGTTTTCTGGCATCAGTCAAGAACAGTACTGTTCCGCAGGTTACACTGCGTGATTTGGTCGCCTGATGTGTTGCCACATTACTGCGCAGATGCGTGGTTGCTGTTAACATTTTCTGATATGTTAAGGGTATATCATTGCTCTCTCGGTTCATTGCAAGCTTATGCAATTAGTTCGCTCCCACTGAACTGCTGTTGCTTCTCGGTGAGAACAGTTAGTATCCTGTGGTGTTCTTATAAGAACTCGACAGTCAACAGCATACGCGTGCATCCTACTCCTGGAGAGTTGCACGCTTGAAATTTGACCTTTACAGCTTTTACGATGAAAGTTCCAGTATTACTTCGCCCTCTTCTTGAGTGGAAATTTTCTTCACCCTAAGGAGTGCTACCTCAGTCGTTAGATTCGCAGCTTTGAGCGATTCGGGGTATGTTGGTGCAAGATGGGGAAGAACATGGAGTCGATCGAGGATGTGCTATCAGAGATGACGAAATTAAAATCAAAATTGCCACCACGCCCTACCCCGGACGAGCTGAAATATGCTACGCAGACCATCGATAGAGTAGAATCTACTTTGACTTCCCGGCTGGAGGATCTTTTTCACCAGACGTCGCCTACGGGAGTTCCTTACCATGTCTTTCGCGCTTACTTAGAGATGCGAGAGGAGATCATACGTGCTAAGGTATGTGCAATCACTTGTTCATGAGATTAGGTCTAGTCTTCGTTGCTAATTAATAAGAAATTTTAACCTTCTTTGTGGTTTCCTGCTATACATAAATTAGCAGGGACCTTGCTCACCTTTAAAGGCTGCCGAATTTTTGTTCGGTAAATTTTCAAACTGAAACGGACTGAGAGTGATGAAGACTTAGAATAATGAATGTTTTTCCTTCGCGTCATGTACTTTGCGGAATACAACTGGAACTACTGTTCAGAAGACAGAGTGTCTGTCTTTCGTTTAAACACTCTTTAATTTACCATGAGGATCGAGTGTGTTAAAGCTCAGGTTGATCATAACCTCAGGTTTTGTGCTTGATAAGGGAGCAGTCTTGATGATAACATGTACGTTTGGTTCAAACCAACAGTCATCGTCTGTGGTGTCTACTTAATCCTTAAGGCAATAATTAGGACTGCATTTGTCAAGGCTTATACAGACATGAACCTTACATGCAGGCCGACGAAGAGAAGCGCATGGCAGTGTCCATTATAGAGTTAGAGGAACGGCATCAGAAATACGATGCCCTTATTGCGAAAGTACAAAATGCTGTAATACATCCTTTACATAACAATGCAGTGCACGAAGGTTCCGCTTATGATTACAAGCAGCCTGTGTTATCAGCAACGGACTCTTCAAAGCATTCAAGTCTGCCTTCTCTTTCCGAAGACAACAGTTATTCGGGGCCACTGTCCAGGAATTTGTCTGCTGGAAACTCGGGGGAGCGCTCATTCAAAAAGTCGACAATCAACAGTTCTCGAATATCTACTCCTGTAGCACCTTATCCAGGTCTTGCATCGTTTTGACCTCTAATCTGGATGGTTCTTGACAGTGGAGGGTCGACGAATGTATGAAGCCTTTACTTGGTCTTGAGGGTATAATTCAGAAATTATACCTCCATGTGAGGTGTAGGCCGTGTACATACTCTGTGGTATAAATTCTCAATCTTAAAACCCGTTTTTGTGTGATACCAGGTTCACAGCCAGACCAGGACAATGGCGAGGACGGGGCTAAGCATTATTCTCCGAAAGTGTTATCCGCCATCAACAACGCTAAAATCCATAGTTTGAAAGAATTGAAGCTCAATGACATGGGAGTTGAGTGGATTCCCGAATTAATAGGGAACCTGACGCACTTAACCTCACTTGACCTATCAGGTACTCTAATCATCGAATTTCTGTGCAGGTCTTGCGGTCGAAACGTAGAAATTCAGTCCAACTGAATGTCTTTTAGGAAAGCTTTGCGAATCTGAACTGAAGACGATAGATGTTTCGGGAAATCTTGAGAGAGTCTTGTACTGTATGCCTTGTATTTTATTAACTAAAGTCTGAATATTCTTTTCGATTCACAGCTGTTTTGTTGCTGTTTTGTGGGCTGAGAAATCATAATACATCACAATTTATTACCTGGGGTCAATGCTTGTAATAACTTGGAGCGCACGAAAGCAGGGTTCAAAATAGTTAGTTGTCATGTGAGCCCGACTTCAATTCCTGTTTGATGGCTACCACAATGTAGACCTTTGATGGGTCAGTTGTCATAATGATTAGCTGAATCTGTAATAAATCTCAATGTAAGCTTCACAGGTGTTTAAATACCCATTTTAATTATAAAGGTTGTAAAGCGAAGTAGATTATTACAGGTATAGAGTTTCTCATTTTATGTCTATAATCTGTGCTCTACTTCCTTTCAATCACCTCTTCGCTAACTCTTGGTCTAAGGCAGAAGTCACGTTCACATTAGCAACAGTGACTTTTCTAAATGATCCGTAAATATGTGATCATTGTAATCGGCGATCTCACTTGGGATTTGTAAATTGCGTTCGGTCTGCATATTGCTTTGTATTTAAATGGCTAATCTTGGTTTTTTGTGCAGGAAATCGTTTGACAGCATTGCCCGAGTCCATTGGCGAGTTGAGCAACCTGCAATATTTGAATGTCTCAAAAAATGCGTTGAAGACATTGCCAGAAACCATCGGATGCCTCACAAGTTTGAGACATCTGGATATACAAATGAATAAAATTGAGGAACTGCCAATGACAATTGGCCTCTGTACACAACTCGTGGAACTACTATGTGATTTCAATGAGCTAAAGGTGCTGCCTGAAGCAACAGGCAACCTGGTCTCTCTTCAGAAGTTAAGGCTCTACATGAATCATGTCCACCGTTTGCCGACGACACTCAGATCACTTACGAATTTGGTGGAGTTGGATGTGAAATTCAATCGATTGGAGAGGGTCCCTGAAAGTGTTTGTTACCTTCCGAATTTGATAAAACTAGATGTCTCATCTAATTTCGTCGAACTGAAGGAGCTTCCTGGAGCTATTGGTCAAATGCAGAGTTTACGGGAACTGAATATTAGCAATAATCATATTTCATTGTTACCACCATCTTTTGCCATGCTTACTGGCCTTGAGAAGCTTGAAATGGATCAGAATCCATGGGTGATTCCGCCCTTGGATGTCGTTCAGAGAGGAAAGGAGGTATATTTCTCAACTTCTTTGCTCTAACCTGGTCCAATGAGATCCTAATTGAAGTTGTACTTCAGAGTCTCTTTTTTCAGTTTGTTTAAAATGGGAAATGTCATGCAATTTCAAGTTCTACCCTGAATTAATGATAACCAAGGTCCTGAACTGCAGGCCGTGTTTCAGTTTATGGCTGATTTGGTATCGCAAGAAGCTAAGGATGAGAAGGAGACTATTAAGAAGACGGGTTTTGGACGACTGTCGTCGGTTTTCAGGAAGAAAAAGACCCAAGGCTCGCCTTACAAGGTCAAGAAGAAAAACGATCTCCTAATCAGAGCTTGAAAACTTATTAGGTGTAAAATTTCATCTCATTTCAGGTAGGTGCAAGCTTTCTTCTTTACGGTTCGGAATTTATCACGGGGCTTGTGTTTTTAGTGAGGTTTTCTTAGTGGAACGGGTGCAGTCATAGGTTTGGATATTAAAAACCATTTGTTAGCTCTAAGATCTGTTGTGCCAATGCACCACATTAACTCTCACGGCAGCGCACATTGGACTTGAAAAGTTGTTAAAACATGAAGTTGTTAAAACATGAAGCAATTTGGATGCCATGGATTTTTTTTTGTATCGAAGAGTAGTAATTCTGCACTTATTTTATTGCATAAGCTTTTTTGTGCCCTTTTGTTGGCAATGCACAGGCTAGCTAACTGTGTGCTTTGCATTTTTATCAGGCCCAGAAAATCACTCATGTGCAATACACGATATCATCCATGCTTGTTTTCCGCAATGAGAACAGTAAAGCCTTTCACATTGTTTGTTTCCAGTGTACGCTGCTTGTTCATTGCGGAACCACAGTTGTGTAAACTTCATCGTGAGCCTCGACGCCTAGCCATTGGTATATATTTGTAGGTTGTGTGTCTTGCAGTTGTAAAGAGTTCATTCTTGTCGTTGCCCTACTTTCTCAAGGTAAAAAGGGCGCGGTTCAATCTATATGTAGTTATAGTCAAATGCGGCTTTTTCTTCAAGTGGCCGACCAAATTTTGTTGGCGAGCACTGAGATAATATACCTTCTAACCATTTCTGATTTATGAAGTTTCTCATCGTAGTCTCTAGATTTATCAACACGTTGACTGCAACATCAGCAGAACTTAAACGTTTATTCCCGACACTTCTGCCGGCCTGGTAGAATGTGGTCGCTGTTTGAGCTTCTGAATGCTGAGATTGTTCCGCAGTATTGTAGAAACAGATGACACCTAGTTTCACTAACACCTTGAACTGTTTCGTGTGCATTTGATTTGTTGAAGTACATCGTCACAGATTTTAGAGTTTGTTTCACTGCAATCTCATGTTCTAGTGGAGTGGACATTTGCGCACTAACAAGACTTGAGCCGCGGTTGTTACTTGGGATTTTAGTAGACAAAAATTTACGCGCGATGTGTAAAAATATCTTCTCTAATACTGTCAAGGACAGGTCTCGGAAGCTCTAGAGCATGTTCCGATATGGACATTCTTTGAAAAGTTTCTAGCGATAGTTGTAATTTAGTGCACTTCGCACACATATTTTGCATCCATTACCAGTAGGTGTTAGGTCAAATAATCCGAATAAGGTCTAAATCTCGTTCGGAATTTACCTGTGACATGCATTAATGCGCACTGGAGAGAATATGGGGAACTTTGTTCATCCTGCCTCAGATCTTTTTTCTCCAATTCCGGGAAATTGGGGCAGCCCCAGGGATTCTTCTCTTCGAATTTTATTATAACCGACAAATTGCAAACATGTGTTCCATGGTAACCACTATTTAAAACGTTGGTAGCATACAATTCGGCACCTTCTACAGTAGGTGATTTGATACTTGTCAACACCTTCTGAACATGATGGAGCCCCTCTTCATTTACCTAGGGTTGAACTTCTGCCCAGCATCAATACCTCACGTGAACATGAACACCAGATATCAACAACTGCCAAGTTGAAATTACGAGGCTGCAGGTGCCAAGCAAATAACTGGCTGAATCAAAATGTAAAAGAGGTTCTACATCCATGGATGCTCATCTTTGAGCAAGAATCTGGGACTGCAATCAACGAGTGGTGAGAGTAGGGGCTTTGAAAATGTAAGCAAAGCCAACGCACTCACACTGAAGGAAGGCGGTGAGGAAGCGCATCAAGCAGGTGGAGTCCATGTGTAAGGTGCACGGTCGACCACTAGATAATCTCCGCGAATGTCCTTAGCCACGCGAATGTCGTCATCCAGATAGATTGACTCAAACCTGCACACGAAGCAATATTGCCCCACCCCTCAGCAACCCACCCTGGTTTAACCCTCACCTTTCACCACATCACCCATTTGAACTTGATCGCAAGGTACGCAATCTCACCAGCCTTGACCGAAGGGAGGCACTGCTATTCTGCGCCCATTTACAAACAGCGCAGCACCTATGAACCTGCCACATTTTTACATTCATCAAGTTAGACTTCGTCTCTCTCCTTGTATGAATTTTCCCCGGCATGGTGCTCCGTTCCACTTAGTAAGGTGGGCTGCACCTGAAATCCACACGCTGCTTGTCCACCACTTCAATAGTTGAGTCCACCACAAACGAGCCCGAGGGTGGAAATGTGATCACATTGTTTAAGGTTCCCCTCGACACATCGATTACCTGCGTATGCATGCCACCCACTCTTCCTTCCTCAGCTTCACCAAGTCCAGCTAGAGTCAGAAAAGTTGAATTGCCAAGGACATTTCTCATATTCTGGATTCAACGAGTTCGCTAATACCGCTCCACATCTAAAAGAAAACAACATATCTGGTATGGATGTGCGGGGTTGCGAGCGTTGGCTAACCTGCAAAATGTCTCCTGCTTGAGTTCCAAAAAAGGGCGCCATTTTCTCAATAATAAATAACTGCTCCTTCTCGGTGGTCCATAGCATCCGCCAAGTAGCTGACAAGCTATCGTTCGTGGTGGTCTGCTCGCTGCCCAGAACTCCTAGTGCCTCGATTGCCTTGATAATCTGTTCCCTCTGATTGCTGTTTTTCTGAGTCTTCACTCCGCGCTCTTCGTTCGCTATCAGACCCAGTAAGTCGTCCCGGGCAAGCCTGGTCTCCGTTTTCGAAGAAGCCCGGCAGACATGAGTGGCGCGCGCCTTTGCAGGTAAGCGCAGGACAAGAGAACCAGGAGAAATCGTTGCCAGGGCGCAGGAAGTAGCAAGCGCCATAGCCTACCGCAGGTACTCAAACTCCGACGCACCGCCAAAACGTCACCGTGTCACTCCTTCGATTATACTCAACCTGGATCTTTCAGCAACGAAAAAAATGATTAGTGGTACATATGAAAAAATACGAACATGCAATCAAAAAGATTTCCAATAATCTTGTGTTGGGGAGCAATGTAAAGTCGAGACGAAGATGGACTGGCATTTCGGGACCTGCACAAAGTCATTCAAGCGTCCTCGTCATCCAAAGCCACTCGTGTAATGAACATTCACATTACAAGGCTAAGAGAATTGGTTCACAAGTGCGTTCATCGACTAGATCTATCGTGAGTGACCTACATTACCACCATCATCGTCGACTTCAAGTTACAGGATGTAAACGTAAATAAAAAGGGAAAAGTGTCCTCGCTACAGATGTCAAGCAGAAGCTACAAATGTTCCCATCCGTAACAACCAGAATTTTGAGAACTATGCAACAAAATTTCATAACAGTAGCCCAAATGTTCAATCAAACATGTCATACAGAAAAGTGAAGCGTGTACAGAAAGGGAAGTGGTCTCGAAATCTTAATACAATACGCAGACCTCTTCATAGATAACGAATTCATCAGAACTAACTAATTCACCGATAAAATTCAATACGCCCAGCTACTCTTTGTAAAAAAGGTGTATCTCCTACAAAGGATGCAGCACAAGTATGACATGGCACTGCTAATCTCTAATCAGAAGTCTTAAGGCGTTGTTCTTCAAACGAATGAGTACTCATATACCTGCCACTGAACTCTCGGCAGTCAATTTCCAATACACATGAAAACTCCGGGAAAGAAAAATTCACTGGGATTACAAAGGGTTCCAGCATCAGATTTCTGTACTGAAGCCTTTCAGCTTTATCGGAGTCCAGCTTCAGATTTCTCTCCTTGGGTATTCAATCCATTTAGTGATGTACATGATCTCCCAGCAACGCAGGGTGCAATCCAAATTCAATGAAACTTTCGAAACGCTGAAGAATCCCCCTCAAACCATTCTCCTGCTCACGCAGCTTCGAACATATTCACCATGGTACTCCAGTATCAGGTCAGCTGGTATCAATACGGAGTGACAAAAACGGTTGCTCTGTAGAGGGTATCTCGTCATGCGTCCGAGCGAATCAGCAGCGCATCACTGAAAAAGAAACATCCTAAAGATGAGAGAACTCTGAAAATGCTGCTGAAATGACTAGTAGAAGCCCAGTGTTTGGTCATGACCAACAGCTCATATCTGTCGATTTAGAGACGATTTCATCCCCGAACTTTGTGTGACCGATCGTTTTCGCGCCGATCCTTCTGCTCCAGACGCTGTAAAAAGTAAATATAAAAAATCATATCATCTAGCGCACCATGGTCTTCTAGTCCTTCTCCAGCATCCACACTTGTTCTTCTAGTGAATTTGAAAGCTACCAAGCCAGGTTTATCTAGTAACCATTTCGCAATCTTACTCACTTCTGTCAACTTGCTAGTCATCTCGACACCCATCAGATAGAAGACTAGGGAAAGTACCTAGTCCAAATGAAAATTCTTCCAACTAGGGAAGTTTTGGCGTGACTTCTAACCGAGGGCCAATTGATAATTGATAACCTGAGTTCTCGATAAACGAATAAATAGCGAGCGTACTAATTTCAGATAAAATTTATGCCAAAATAAAATTTATGGCATTATCATCATCAAAGTTTGTGCAACTTGGTTTTACATACTGACAAACTCTCCGATCAGCGTTACAAATTTTTCAAAGACCAAGTGTTCTTCTGTGAGTCACAACAATAGATCTGCGGGCTGCACTGCGTTATATATACAAACTTTATCTTACGATCGACGCTCACTTCCACCCTTAATTCGACGTTTGGGACCCAGAATGCAGGAGATGCTGGCTATTCGTCTACTTCACATCTGAGTCGTGGCTATGTTCTTCCATCCTATCCTATTTCTTCTCATGACGTTTGTACACCCCGTTGCCAAGTGATTCAGCAGCCGCCACTTCCGCACAGTTCTTGTGGTTACACTTTCTCTCACATATAACAGCTTCAGGTAGGGATCGGCGTCCATGTTCTTCACTAAATTCGTTACTGGACTCGTGATGTCTTCCATGTCCTTCGAACAAACTACGGTCCGTCACTTATCCCCTCTCCGCGGCTTCTACAAGTCCGTCCTCACGAATCCATCCAACATCCTCATCACTCTCACATTCGTCTCCCATCGTTCTCTCCAACATTAGCAACAAAAAACGCTGGGATACAAAAATCGAACTAGAATATACGTTTGATAAACCCTAGATGCTGAGTACTCTTAAGATAGTAATTTCAACGCTTTAATTTTGGTCATTTGCAGCATTCTAGCTTCGACTTCTTGTGGGAGTTTTTTACCAAGCAATACTGACCGAAGGGAAAAGCACACAGCCATTCTCCGGGAAAAGAGGTTAAGCGAAAAATAAAAAAGTTAACAAAGAAGGATTTCAGATGGTCAGACCATGCTCTGGCAAGAAGCTGGGACCTTGTGCTATGATTTTATGCAGCAGGCTTACTACTATACAACACTATTAGCTACTGAAGTTCGAATTGCTGAACTGGAGCAAATAGCCATGGAAATTGTTGAGATCATTAAATATAGCCGGCTCTCTCTGTAATATTTATTGTAGAATACAGAAAATACTATAGCAACAGTATTTAGAGTCTAGTGGAGAAGTATTGTTTATCCTCTCCCCTTTTTCTCTTCTTGTATACGAGACACAACCAGATCAACAGATTTTTATGTGTGAAGCTCTCTCTCCTTAGAAACCTTCTTGTGTGTGTATAACTTACTACTACTCTTGTATGTGTGTATGACTTACTATTACTCTTGTGTCTTTCTAAACATTCTCAACACGTTATCAGCATGACTCTCTTCTACACACTATCACAATTTTTTTGCTCTAGTCTTAGACTCTTCAAACCTGTTGCTACCCTTGCTCAGTGTCTACCTCATAATCTTGTTCTTCTTACTAGCCCTTCACACATTAGCTGCTTGCTTAGAGTACTTATTCCACTCTCTGCCCTGCTTGCTTAGAATACTTGATCTAGTCCAATTCCACCCCAGCTTGCTCCCTGCTGCGCCCCGCGCCTGCCATTGTCCGCCGCTACCACCCTACTGTGATATTGCTACTGCCCTACCACTGCCTGCTACCACCATCTTATTGCTCTTCTGTTGTCTTAATCTACAACCTCTTTAAAAAAATAAAAATAATATATATATATATATATATATATATATATATATATATATATATTTTTAAGTTCAAGTTTATCATTTTATTTGACTTTATATTTTAAGGTACGTTTTACTCAACTTTTCTACTTGATCTTGTATTTTCTTTATAGATTTTTTTATAATGAGTGCTTCAACATCTTCAAGTGCTTCTACTATGGTTTCAACTATTACTAGTGCATCCCAATATTTTCAAGCTCTTTTATTTCTACCATTGACTGTGCATGGAAATAATTATCTATTATGGGTAAAAATGATAAAAGTAAATTTATTTGCAGAACAACTCTCGGATGCTATTATGTTTGAAGAATCTCCTACAATAAGTATTTCTATACCTCTTGCTATTCGTTGGAAAGCACTTCTTCTCCTTCGTCATCATCTTGTACCTGCATTATAACATCAATATTTAGAAATGGAAGATCCTGCAAAACTTTGGAAGAATCTTAAATCTAGGTTTGATCATCAAAAGACCATTTTTCTTCCACGTGCACGTCATAATTGGACACATTTACGTGTCTTGGATTTTCTAAATTTAAATGCTTTCAATAGTGAAATGTATAGTATTATCTCACAATTACGATTATATGAACAAAGCATTTTTGAAGAAGAAATGATTGAGAAAACTCTCTCTACATTTCCTCATGTATCTGCTATGCTTGCACAACAATACAAGAATATGAAATTTTAGAGTCATTCTGATCTCATGTCCTATCTACTTCTTGCGGAGAAGCAAAATGAGCTACTCTTGTGCAATGCGGAAGCTCGTCCTATTAGTAACATAGTTCCAAAATCTCATGCACTTAATATTTCAAAGTCTAAGAAGAAATTATATAAACATGGAAAACGTGCTCATAAGTATCAAGGTAGTCATAGTCAAGACTATTTCTATCCATATGGAAAGAATAAATGTTCTACTATTAATTAGAGTAGAAAACAAATATCAAAGATGCATTCTTGCCATAAGTGTGGAATGATTGGATATTTAGCACATATGTGCCGTACTTCAGAACATTTTATTAAAATGTTCCAAAAAAATAAGAAATTGCGAGCTGAGGCTCGTGAAGTTCATACCATGGATGCATCCATGGATTCAATTGGTGTTGATGTCTTAGAGGCTTATATGAATGATAGAACCTTCAATGATAAATCAAATGATGCGCTCATTGATTCTGCAACAACACATACTATCTTGCGAGATAGACGATTTTTTATTGAAAAATCTTCAACTTGGAAAACTAAAAATATGATGACCATGGCTAGAGCAAATGTATTTTGTTTCCAAGAGGGCACAATGATGGTAAAATTACCTATGGGTTCCATCATAAAATGTAAACATGCGATGTTTGCACCCTCAGCACCTTGGAGTCTGATCAGCTATCGAGATGTGCATATTAATTGTTATCACCTCTCGACTGCCACTTTAAATAGAAAAGAGGTTTTGATTCTTACGAAGAATCATAAAGTTGTTGAAAAAGCTTTTGCTACAAAAAATGGTTTATACCAAATTGTGATTCGGCCTCCCATTATATTTAATTTTGCATCATCTATCTCAGAGAGTCGTGTTTCTCTCTGGCATAGACGATTGGGACATCTAAGATCCACATTATTTAGAAAGATCATTCCATGTATAACTGGGTACAATTTAAAACCTGCAAATATAGACTCTATGGAATTATGTCGTGCATGCGTGCAAGGTAAAATGATTACTCGGCCTTTAATTTGAAAACTTCCACAAGAATTACCACCAATGTTTGAAAGATTGCATGGTGATATTTGTGGTCCTATTAATCCAATATCAAGACTATTTTGTTATTTTTTGGTCCTTGTTGATGCATCAGATAAACAATCACATGTTTCATTATTATCAACTCGAAACATGGTATTTGCCAATCTTATATCTATGCTTATTTGCTTTTGGGTACATTTTTTTGATTATCCTATAAAAACATTGGGTATGGATAATACAAAAGAATTTGCATCAAAGTGTTTTGAAGACTATTGTACTGCAACAGGAATTGAGTTGACATATTGTGTTCTATATGAACATGCTCAAAATGGACTTGCAGAGTCATTTATAAAGCGTATACAACTCATTACCCGACCACTCCTCCTTCACACAAATCTACCTGCATCTATGTGGGGTCATGCAGTTTTATATGCTATAGCATTAATATACCTCTGCCCTTCTTCTCTTTAAATTTTTTCACCACATGAATTCATTTTGAGTTGTGTATCAAATGTATCTCACTTACGAGTATTTGGTTATCGTGCTTGGATTCTAGTACCAAAACCTCAACGACGTACCATTGGAGCTCATCGACAAGAAGATATATATGTTGGTTTTGATTCACCAAGCATTATTTGTATTGTTGATCCATCAGCTAGTACATTATTACATGCATGTTTGCAAAATTACTGTTTTGAAGAAAATATATTTCTATCTCTTCAAGGAGTATTATCCAATCAACAAAGAAATAAAGTACTCATATTTGAAGCACCAAAAATGTTTACAATGAATCCCGATCCTAGGACATCTTTGGCAGAAACTAAAGTTGCTAAGATTTTGCATCTAAAACGGATCGTAGATGAAACACCTGATGGCTTCAATGATGCACTTAGAATTACAAGAGTTCCTATTAATGAGGCTCAAAATGCACCTGCTCAAATTGCAGTGCCATTGACTACAATACCTCAAGTTATAACAACAACAACTAAAAGAACTCGTGGACCAAATAAGAAACCATGTAAGAAGAAAGCTATAAAATTGATTAATTTTGGTATTATTACTCAAGAAATTACCACACATCTTACAAGACTACCAATTCATGATGATATATCCATGCATAATGTACCTTCAATTCTTATGAAAAACAATCTTGAAATTGGAAGGAATAAGAACAAGTTGAATAAAGAATTATCTATTCGGTATTGTGCTA